TTTTGTACCTCCCTCTTGCAATGCTGGATTTAATACATTTTCCTCATCTTTAAAATGAAGAGAGCACTAGTGCCTACCTCAAAGGGTTATTGCAAGGGTTAAGTGAGTTAATATATGTAAAGCATGTAGGACAGAGCTTAGCTCCTAGTAAGTACTATTGACGTGTTAGTTGTAATTACCTGATATTATTTCAGGTAATTGCCATCCTCTGGGCTTTAGTTCCCCCATCTCTAAAATGGAGGAGCTAATATAGAAATCCAAGTTTCCTTCCAGCTCTGATATTTTGACTCTATTATAACCCTTATCACTTCTGCCTTGCTTCAGTGATTTCTGTTCCTGTTTACTACGTCTTTCTCTTAGGCTTCTGAAGGGCAAGGCCCCTGTGTTTTCCTCTTGTTTCTTGGGCATCCATAACACCCGAAGCAGTGCTTGGCACTTAGCAAAGACTCCAGCACCCTTTTCTGAATTGAGCTAGACTGGCTTAGCTGCCTGGGGTGGCAGCGGTTTGAAGCATGGCTTTACAGGCCCAAACGTGATGTGCACAGAGGCAAAACAAGGACAACAGAGGATGGAGGCTGCCAGCCAGTAGAGGGGGTGGGGAGCAAAAGGAGCTGGAGTCAGAGGAGTGAGAAAATGTTCCAGCAAACCTGCATCCTCTGCAGCGGTACCAGATACTTTATACCGGAACTGCTCCAGCCTGGGAGTAATTAAGACAAGCTAATAAAGGACTCGAAGGCAGTACCTAGGATGTTGTTGCTGCTGCTGTCACAGGACTGGGAGAGGTTGGCTTCCTCTGGGATCGGTACAATCAAAAAGATTGCAGGGAGTCTAAATACATGAAAGCACCAAGTCTAGATGGAGGAAGGAGCCAGAGCTAGCAGGGCAGCAGGCACCGCTGACAGAGGCAGCCTGGGGCTGTGAGAGGAGCCCAGACTCTGCAGGCAGACAGCCTCGGTTCAGAGTGGCTCGGTGGGAGCTTTCATTTTCTTCCTGATCTGTGTAATGGGAATAATAATTCCACCTGGCAGGATTGTTAGGAGGATTACGTATTTGAGTACCTGGTACATAGGGAGCACACACAAAATACATTATTTCTTAATAATTGCATTTGTTTTACCTTTCTCTTGCAGGGTAGGGGATGGGGAGAGAAGCATTTGTTGGTGGAACTGCCCTGTTGAAAGAAAGAAATGATAATGTCTCTCTCCCAGGGTGGGTCCAGACACTGATTAACCCAGTGAGGAGGCCTAAGAGGCAGTGGAAGAGTAGGGCATGGTGGTGAGCTCCTTGAGGACAGACCTGATGTTTTCCATTTTGTCCTCAGTATCTGGCCTGGCTCACAGTCTACTGAATGAATGGTTCCAGAGCAAGGACAAGCAGGCACAGTCACAGGGCCCTGGGGCATATCTCCTGCCTGCAAGCTGGGAGAGCTACCTGAGGCTCCCTGCCACTGGAGGAATGAGACCTTCCATGGGTGCCCTGCAGTGTACAAGCTTTGCAGCAGGAAGCAACAAGAAGCGGCCTGTGAGCCATGGCAGGAGCCCAGCAGGAGGGAGACAAGCTGCAGGAGAGGAGGGGTTCCTACCAGCTTAAAGTTGTGTTTCTCACAGCCAGCACTTGCCCTTAACACTACTGCCACTGTCTACTTTAGACTGATTTCCCTGCCTCCAGTCTCATCCCCTTGGTGCCTGGTGCTGTGTCCCACACACGATAGGCACAAAGTTGATACAGAACAAACTAGATCAGAATATTAAGAAGCTGAACTGTGCTCCAAGGTAAAAAACTAAAAACTAAACTCACTGCTGTTGAGTCGGATCTGACGCATAGAAATCCCTCTTTGGGTTTCCAAGGGGTTATCACTACAGAAATAGATTGCCCTATCTTCCTTCTGAGGAGTGGCTGGTGGGTTTGAACCGCCAGCATTCTGGTTAGCAGTCAAGTGCCTTAGGCACTCCGCTACCAGTGCTCCAGGGTAGACAGCCTTGATGTCTAAGAAATGTGTGACAGACTAAACTTAAAAAGGAGGTAGAGCAGGGAGAAGGGGCATAATTGAGAATCTGTTCTGTCTCAGGTAATGGACACAATTCCAGGAACTATTATTTGTTGTACCTATTTTAAAGAGAAGAAAACAGAGATTCAAAGGTTAAACAGATTGCTCAGGGATAAGTAGCAGTAAATGGTGGAGCTGTCTGTCTGATGCTGAAGTCTGCTCTTCTACTGTATCATAGCCTAGGATTTGAGACAGTTTGGGTAGTGGTAAAGAGGAACACAGGCACTGGGGTCAGACTGCCTGCCTTCAAATTCTGACTCCTCTCCTTATAAGCTGTGTAACCTTGAGTGAGTGACTTAACTTCTCTGTGCCTTGTTCACATCATCTGGAATATCGTAATATTATCAACCTCATAAGATTGTTATATAAAGTGCAAAGAAC